CTGTTTGGAAACGAGGCGGCCATTTTCTTGTAGCACAGGCGCAGATGACTTTGTGGGGAAGAAAAACTTACAGAAAATGAATCAAACTACAAACATTTTTATTGCTATATTGTTGCCATTAGTTCTTTATAAAAGTAAACATATTGATAGTTTGGCTTTATACTGGAAAGGGGTGGCCATTTTTTTGTAGCCTCAGAGAAATGAGTAGCTGCTCTTGCAGTTAAAAGCAACTTCCTGGAGGAGGGGTCAGCCCTGAAAGCTGGTGTTCAGTGAGGAGGAGGAGGAGGAGGTAATAATGTCTTCTTATTATGAGAGAAGGGGGATCATGTCACCTCCACACATCCTCATCCTCCTGCAACTCCTCTGATGGGGGGAACGTTGGATGGTCAGGTCTGATGGTAAAGGGGACATATTTTCCCTAAAGCCATTTACAACATTTAGACGTTTTGGAAATTTGCGTAACCATGAGGAATAGAGTTGCTGTTAAAATGAAAAAAAAAAATTGCAGTTGGGTGCGTGACGTCACTTCAACGCCACAAATCCAATCAGACACCTGATATTTTTTTTTGTAGTTCTGTGGCATAAACATGAACGTTTGGTGGAGGAGTGCGCATGTGTATCTTACGGAGGATGGGCTGCTGGAATAATAGTTCACATCAGTGGGCGTCTTGGTCAAATGCTGTTTTCCAGCACGCAAGTGTGTTTAAATGGGAAAACTCAGCAATCTTACAAAAAAAAAAAGGCTGTGTTTACCACTTTAAGACCAGCGCATTGTAATACAGCCACTCTGCGTAAGATCACATATATATATGTACATACATATTTATTTCAGGTACTTATATAGCGCCGTCAATTTACGCAGCACTTTACATATATATTGTATTTTCTAATCGTCCCTGACCCTCAAGGGGCGTACAATCTAAGGTCCCTAACTCACATTCATACATACACATACTAGGGACAATTTAGACAGGAGCCAATGCACCTACCAGCATGTCTTTGGAATGTGGGAGGAAACCCACGCAGGCACAGGAAGAACATGCAAACTCCAGGCAGGTGGTTGAGATTTGAACCAGCAACCCGAGTACTGCCAGGTGAAAGTGCTAACCATTTAGCCACTGTGCCTTATATATATATATATATATATATATATATATATATATACATGCATACGTGATCTCGGACTTCTGAGTAGGGGGCGCACACGCGTGCATGCACTGACCTGGTAGTGCTGTCATTTGCTACAGCACATGCCGATCAGCGGGTCCTAGCCAATGATCGGCGAAGCGGATGACAGAAGGAGATCTGTGTTTGGTAAACAACACAGACCTCTCTACTGATAGCTGCGATGTGCGTTTTTTTTGCTCCTGCAAAGCAGGGAATAAAAACCAGAACATTTGCTTAGAAAAAGCACCACGCAGTTAACTCATCAACACTTTTTAGGCACACAGTTAACCCCAGGGGCGGACTGACAACTCATGGGGCCCACGGGCAATAGGGGATCATGGGGCCCCTGTGTCCTTGCCTAAACTCAAAAAAGCCTATGAAAAAGGTACCAGGGGCATCTCATGTGGCCCCCTACTGACCAAGTTTCCAAATGGTCAGTCCGCCCCTGGTTAACCCTTTGATTGCCTCTGAATGTGATCCCCTTCCTACCCAGTGTCACCAGTACAGCGTCCGTGCATTTTATTAGCACTGATCCCCATATTAGTGTCAGTGCCAGATTGCTCACCGTGCTATCACAGTCGCTATATAAATACTGTCATTTGTAGACGCTATAACTTTCACACAAACTAAATAATATGCACCTTTTATTGGATTTTTTTTTTTTTTTTTTTCGCTTTTACCAAAGACGTAGCAGAATATATTTTGGCCTATTAATCATTTTTTATGGACATGTTTTATAACAGAAAGTAGAAAATTTAGTTTTTTGGGTTTTTTTTTTTTTCAAAATGTTCTGCCTTTTTTGGTTTATATAATTAAAAAAAAAAAAACCCGTGGTGATCAAATACCACTAAAATAAAAGTCTAATTTTGTGAATAAATGATATAAATGTAATTTTGGGTACAGCGTTGCATGACAGCGCAATTGGCTGTTTGTAGTAACCGAATTGTGGCAAGTAGTGCAGTGCCGAATCGTGGCCAGTTAATGAAGGGTGCCAAAATCTTCCTGAGGGCAGGTGGAACGAAACTCACTTATCTTTACAACCATGCAAGCTTCCATCTTGGCCTCTGTTTGATCTGCAGTTGCCATGGTGCTACACATGTGATAAGTTATGACACTAGATATTTGATGGTTTGACAGTTTGGTTGAGGACACAGGCAAATGTGACAGTTAGCAATCCTGGTATGCGAGGAATGTAACTGATTTTCGGAAACTGTTAAACTGATCAGTTTAACCCCTTTGTTTTCTTTTGGTGGTATTTACTCACCGCTGAGTGTTTTATTTTTTGCGCTATATACAAAAAAAGACCAAAAAATTTAAAAAAAGGGTTTTCTTTGTTTCTATTATAAAATTTAGCAAACAGGTAATTTTTCTCCTTCACTGATGTGCATTGATGAGGCTGCACTGATAGGCGGCACTGATAATGGGCACTGCTGGGCACTGACTGACGACACTGCTGGGCACTGACTAGCAACACTGCTGAGCACTGACTGGCGGCACTGCTGGGTGGCACTTCTGGGCTGCAGTGGTAGGCACTGCTGGGCACAGGTGGGTGGCACTGCTGGGCACTTGTGGGCAGCACTGCTGGGCACCGATCATCAGGGCACTGATCATCGGTGCCCTGATGATCGGTGCCGATCCCTCCTCTGACAACTGCCGGTTCTTGGCAGTACTTGCATGAGGAAAGTGCAGCCGATAACCAACATTTGCATTTCCCGGTGATCAGTGTGTCATTGGACACAGCTGATCACGTGGTAAAAGGCGACTGTGATTGGTCTTTTACCACATCACGTGATCAGCTGTGTTCGTAGGAGTGCATTCTGGGAGGACGTCATATGAAGCTGCAATATATGACATTTTTGGTTTTAATACTGCTTTATTGGACTGTGCTGTGTTCGAAAAAAACACAACAGAATGCAGGCTGAACACAGCCTTCGACCTGCCATGGGTCCTGCCCAATGATAAGTCGGTAGGATTTTGCAGCCCTGTGTTTGTTGTGTGCCCTCTTCACTTTAATACATGCTGTCTCTCCTCCCCAGTTATTCTCCTATACCCATTATCCTTCATCCTGTTTTTTAATTGTCATGCAAAATTCTACAAATAATGTGGATAGTGATTTGTTTAGTGATGCGCTGATACATCAGCCGCTGAAAATGATTGGGCGAAAATAGGGTTATCGGCATTCTGCCGATAGAAAACAAAACATGTGTCGATAATGATAATTGACTTAAATACAAACGAGCGTCCCATTGACTTCAATGCAGAATTGTATCCCTTTGACTTCAATGCAAAACCGCATCCCATTGACTTCAATGCAAAACCGCATCCCATTGACTTCAATGCAAAACCGCATCCCATTGACTTCAATGCAAAAGTGCACCCCATTGACTTCAGTGCAAAACCACGTCCCATTGATTTCAATGCAAAAGCGTGTCCCATTGACTTCAATACAAAAGCGCGTCCTGTTGACTTCAGGGCAAAATTGTGTCCCATTGACTTCAATGCAAAATTGCCTCCCATTGACTTCAATGCCAAAACGCCGCCCTTTGACTTCAATGCCAAAACGCCGCCCATTGACGTCAATGCAAAAAACGCCCCCCTCTGACTTCAATGCAAAAATGCCCCCCATTGACTTCAGTACAAAAACCATGTCCCGTTGACTTCAATGTAAAATCGGATCCCATTGACTTCAATGCAAAAACGCCCCCTATTGGCTTCAATGCAAAACGTTTAAAAAAAAAATTATTTTTTAAATTCATTTTCATTTAAATCCATGATATTAATTAAAAATTCAAATACAATACAATTATATATATATAAAAAAATATATATTTTAAAAAAAACCTGTCCATTTCAGTTTAGTTTTTTGGCTTTGTGCATCCTGAATTTTCGGTTTTGGCGCACCACTAGATTTTTTAGAATAATCTGGGTTTTCAGTCTTTGCACAGACATGTTCACGCTTTTCCTGTCAACTTTTCAAAGCATAAATATCTTTATTCAGTGATTTGTTTCTTCTCACAATACATCCAGATTATGACCCATTTCACATGAGTTGGTTGCGCTCCGATTAGCGGGAGATCTGTGAGTTGATCCCCTGCTGGTTGGAGCAGATTGGGATGGAAGTCACGTCTGTGCCTGCTCACTGTTAGCAGAGAGGACACCTGTCAGTTCTCTGGCAAGCTGGGTGTAAATGGACTCCGCTGTCCATTTACAACGAGCTACCTCTGACCCGGCCTGCCAAAACACAAAAGGATGCAGTCCATTGTAATTTTTTGTTTAGAGGACCTGATAGGACTTGGAGGTAGGTGGGTGTAAACGGGCTGCCTGTCCATAGGGCTGTATGGAGCTTCTGATCAGGTCTGCCTGAAAAACTGACTGGAGAACCTGATAGGAACGGCCATGTGAAAGGGGCTTAAGAAAGTTGGGTGTAATTTCAGAAGTATCCGGAGTCTTGGTCTGTTAGTCCACTTTGCTAAGCTGAAGGCTGAAGGCTGTGGTAGGTGAGACATGTTTTATATATAGCCCGGTTTGCTACTACATACTATTTTTTTGTTTTGTTTTCCAGATTCATTTTTTATTGGTTAATGTGAAAGTTAACCTTTAAGTCCAGCCTTGCTTCCAAATTTTGAGTCCAAGCCTTCAGAAAAGTAGGAACATTTAGAAAGCTTTGTGTCACGGTGAAGAACTGGCCACCTCGCACATCACCGGGTAAGAGGAGACTTTCATTTCTAGTATTGAGGATCCACCTAGATACACACATCCTCTGATATAAAGACATAGAAACCATAGAGGAGTGGGAGTATATAGAAGGACACAAGAATCTGTAGAAGGACATCATGATGGAGGACCGGCCGCCCCTCACATCTCCAGGTAAGAGACTTTCATTTCTTGTATTGAGGATCCACCTAGATACACACATCCTCTGATATAAAGACATAGAAACAATGTATTCAATCAGTGTGTGTGTTTCCTACAGATGGATCCAGTAATGGGAACCCAATAGATAGATGTCCCTGTCCTCTCTATTCCCGGGACTCCACACAGGAACATCAGGAGATCCCTCAGGAGAATCAGGTAGATGGAATGAATTTAGATTTTTTTCTAAGTGGCTCTCGCATAATAAATTTTATGGCCCTTTTGCATTTTAAGCGTGAAAATCCAGTTAAAGTTGAAGTTAAGGAAGAAGAGACGTATGTGATGGGTGATGATCCATGTAAGGAGGAGATCCTTCCAGAGATCAGCCCAGGTGAGGAATAAACACTAAATCCAGAGAAGAGTCCCAGATCCTCCTTATTCAGTCACTACAACAATCTCTTCTTCTCCCCCCTCCTCTGTGAGTAGACAGTAATGGGGGGGCAGTATCTGCCCAGTGGGGGGGTCAGGAGCCATCAGCCTCTATTAGACTCTGGCTCTCCTCCTCACATCATGTCATTGAGACGTGACCAGTCTCCCTCCACACACACTCACTGGGGTCTCCCATACATCTCAGTACAGGGGGCTTCACTCTCATCTTTATTCACAGACACCAGAGAGACTCGGAGAGACATCAAAGCTGAGGAAGAGGAGAATGTGAAAATTGAAGAGGAGGAAGGTACTCCAGAGATCAGCCCAGGTGAGGTATAAACACTAAATCCAGAGAAGAGTCCCAGATCCTCCTTGTTCAGTCACTACAACAATCTCTTCTTCTCCCCCCTTCTCTGTCAGTAGACAGTAATGAGGGGGCAGTATGTGCCCAGTGGGGGGGTCAGGAGCCATCAGCCTCTGTTAGACTCCGGCTCTCCTCCTCACATCATGTCATTGTGTGTTACCAGCCAGAAGACATGACCAATCTCATTGCAAACACACTCTCTGGGGTCCCTCATACATCTCAGTACAGGGGGCTTCACTCTCATCTTTATTCACAGACACCAGAGAGACTCGATATGTTGTATCTGAAGACAAAATAAACCATATGAGGATAAAGGTGGAGGAAACGTCTCCGGAGATCAGCCCAGGTGAGTAAAAAAAACACTACAGAACACTAGAGAAGAGTCCCGAATCCTCCTTGTTCAGTCACTACAACAATCTCTTCTTCTCCCTCCTCCTCTGTCAGTAGAATGTATCCACCTAGATACACAAATCCTCTGATATAAAGACATAGAAAGAATGTATTCAGTCAGTGTGTGTGTTTCCTACAGATGGATCCAGTAATGGGAACCGACCAGAGAGATGTCCCCGTCCTCTGTATTCCCAGGACTCCACACAGGAGCATCAGGAGATCCCTCAGGAGGATCAGGTAGATGGTTCTAGTATTGGGAACCCACCAGAGAGATGTCCCCATCCTCTGTATTCCTGGGATTCCACACGGGAATGTCACAAAAACCTGCGCTGTTATCAGGTAGAAGACACTGAGATTCTTGTACGTATACATCAGGGGCGGACTGACACCTTATGGGGCCCCCGGGCAATAGGGGATCATGGTGCCCCTGTGTCCTTGCCCAAACTCAAAAAAGCCTATGAAAAAGGTACCAGGGGCATCTCATGGGGTCCCCTACTGACACCGGGCCCTCGGGCAGTGCCCAAGTTTCCAAATGGATGGTCAGTCCGCCCCTGATATACATGATATATTTTCTATTTAATCTGATTAGGGTCTTACTTGATCTATCACTTATATTGTTTGGTTTGTTCCCAGATAATACAATGTTCCATTTCTGCTTTTTGTATTATTCAGTATAAAAGGCTGAAGAATATTAAAACTGAAGTGACGGAGAAAGCTGAAGAGACAAATCTGAGGGGGGATAAGTCATTCAAGAAGGAGGAAATCCCACCAGAGATCAGCCCAGGTGAGGAATAACCACTAAATCCAGAGAAGAGTCCCAGATCCTCCTTGTTCACTCACTACAACAATCTCTTCTTCTCCCCCCTCCTCTCTCAGTAGACAGTAATGTGGGGGGGACAGTATGTGCCCAGTGGGGGAGTCAGGAGCCACCAGCCTCTAGTAGACTCCAGCTATGAGCCATGTAAGGAGGAGGAGATCCCTCCAGAGATCAGCACAGGTGAGGAATAAACACTAAATCCAGAGAAGAGTCCCAGATCCTCCTTGTTTCACTCACTACAACAATCTCTTCTTCTCCCTCCTCCTCTGTCAGACAGTAATGGGGGGACAGTATGTGCCTAGTGGGGGGGTCAGGAGCCATCAGCCACTATTAGACTCCGGCTCTCCTCCTCACATCATGTCATTGTGTGTTACCGGCCAAGAGATATAACCCCCCGACCCCTTTCTAGTGTCTCTCATACATCTCAGTACAGAGGACTTCATTTTTATCTTTAATTACAGACCTCAGAGTCACTCAGAGAAATGTTAAAGCTGAGGCAGAGGAAGAAAAACATATGAAGGCGAAAGGGAAAGCTGTTCTAGAGATTGGTATGGGTGAGTATTAAACAATAAAAATATAAGCGTCACACATTCTTGTATAACCCCACCCTTGTCCCTTTGTTCTTCCTCTGTCAAAAAAGCAGAGGTAGAACCAAATATGAGCTTGCCAGATGCTAAACCAAGCTATAACGCAAATGCACGTTACAGAATCTTAGAATGGATTCACATCATCAAAAATAAAAAATGTCTTTCTGTAGAGCAAACACTGATGAGTAAAAACTTGACCCATGTCACCATGTGTGTTGCGTACTTTAGATGCCTTTTCTCCCATTAGGTGTCTCCTTATCGGCATTTAGGAGTTCATTAAAAAAGCAAGGGTATGGCTCTCAATATCTGCTCTCCTACAAGCGAGCCCCTTACAGATGCCTTCCAATGTCTGATAAGAGGAGGGTGAAGAGGCTTCAGAGAGATCTAAAGCTGGCCATTAACTGTTAGATTCCTCCATCATATCCATATACAGTATCTATGTGTGTGTCTGAATGTACAGGGCTCATCTTGTTCCTCCTTGCACAAAGGAACAGATACCGGTCCTGCTGATGGGTTAAGGACCTTCTACGGCCCTGTCCAGCTCTCCTAGACTAACTGCCTGTCTCCTGGAATCTCCTCCAAGCTCTTGGGGCTGTGGTGGGAGACACAGCAAACCTTCTGGCAATGGCACGTATTGATGTGCCATCCTGGAGGAGTTGGACTGCCTGTGGAACCTCTGTAGGGTCCAGGTATGGGCTCATGCTACCAGTAGTGACACTGACCCTAGCCAAATGCAAAACTAGTGAAAAACAGTCAGAAAAGATGAGTAGGGAAAAAATGTCAGTGGCCTCCATCTGTAAAACCATTCCTGTTTTGGGGGTTGTCTCATTGTTGCCCATATAGTGCACCTGTTGTGAATTTAATTAACACCAAAGCAGCTGAAACTGATTAACAACCCCCTCTGCTACTTACCTGACCAGATCAATATCCCAGGAGTTTCATTGACTTGATGCTATACCCTGATTAAAAAGTGTTCCTTTAATTTTTTTGAGCAGTAGGTGTATGTATGTATATGTGTGTGTGCGTGTGTGCGTATATATATATATATATATATATATATATATATATATATATATATATATTAAAATGTAGAATAAAAACACCAGCTGGCAGCTCACAACAAGTAAAAAGAGGCCACTTGTAGGTGCCTCAGGTAAGATCCAAGGAATTTCCACAAAAAACAGCAGTACCAAACCAAACGTCGTAAGACCATGAAGAGATTATTTCATAATTGTCAAGAAGACAAGCCAAGGTGTATCAGGAGTTGTATGTATTACACATGGATATCATATCCCCCCTTATGCATTATACATGGAGATCACATCCCCCCTTATGTATTATACATGGAGCTCACATCCCCCTTATGTATTATACATGGAGATCATATCCCCCCTTATGTATTATACATGGAGCTCACATCCCCCTTATGTATTATACATTGAGCTCACATCCCCCTTATGTATTATACATGGAGATCATATCCCCCCTTATGTATTATACATGGAGATCATATCCCCCCTTATGTATTATACATGGAGATCATATCCCCCTTATGTATTATACATGGTGATCATATCCCCCCTTAGGTATTATACATGGAGATCATATCCCCCCTTAGGTATTATACATGGAGATCATATCCCCCCTTATGTATTTATACATGGAGATCATATCCCCCCCCCCCCCTTATGTATTATACATGGAGATCATATCCCCCCTTATGTATGTATACATGGTGATCATATTCCCCCTTATGTATTTATACATGGTGATCATATTCCCCCTTATGTATTATACAAGGTGATCATATCCCCCCTTATGTATTATACATGGAGATCATATCCCCCCTTATGTATTATACATGGAGATCATATCCCCTCTTATGTATTATACATGGAGATCATATCCCCCCTTATGTATTATACATGGAGATCATATCCCCCTTATGTATTATACATGGAGATCATATCCCCCTTATGTATTATACATGGTGATCACATCCCCCTTATGTATTATACAGGGAGATCATATCCCCCCCTTATGTATTATACAGGGAGATCATATCCCCTCCTTATGTATTATACATGGAGATCATATCCCCCTTATGTATTTATACATGGAGATCATACCCCCCCCCTTATGTATTTATACATTGTGATCATATTCCCCCTTATGTATTATACATGGTGATCATATTCCCCCTTATGTATTATACATGGTGATCATATCCCCCCTTATGTATTATACATGGAGATCATATCCCCCCTTCTGTAATATACATGGAGATCATATCCCCCCTTATGTATTATACATGGAGATCATGTCCCCTCTTATGTATTATACATGGAGATCATATCCCCCCCTTATGTATTATACATGGAGATCATATCCCTCTTATGTATTATACATGGAGATCATATCCCCCCTTATGTATTATACATGGAGATCATATCCCCCCTTATGCATTATACATGGTGATCATATCCCCCCTTAATCTCCTCTTATCATACGATGTCGTCCTGGAAACTGTATACGCCATCATAACCTTTGATAATGGACCTCGCGACATGACAACTAAAAAAGACAACTTCAGTCACAGAGGCACCAGCTAAGCGACACCAACAATTTGCCCTCTGTGAAGCTCGGAAAGCTCTGACATGACTCCGTATTACTAGCAGCACACACAGTAAATGATGAAAGTGAGCCTTCCCACCTGTAAGGTAGGTGTCTCATCACACAGCAGAAGCAAAAGACACACACACAGGTTCGACTAAAAAATGGAAACCCTTCATAATTTGCGGGTGTGAAAGTGACGACATGTTTCGCGTTGAAAGCGGAAGTGACGTAACATTCTTTTGCTTCCTAACTAGACCATACGGTGTGTTTATTTTCGCCTGCAGTTCTGCATTGACATTCTTATTTACCTTAATTTCTTCTAGATGGACAATACACATTGCAGAATGTGAAAAAAAAATCCCACATTTTCAAGTGGCAAAATTGGAGGTGATGACATCACAGCCTATGTTTCGAGAGAAAAAGCCTTTATGCCAAATCATCAGGCGGTATCATTGAAAGAGAAGAAGCGCTTTGTGTGTTCGGAGTGTGGGAAATGCTTTACACACAAACAAACTCTTATTGTGCACCAGAGAAGTCACACAGGGGAGAAGCCTTTTCTGTGTTCGGAGTGCGGGAAGGGTTTTTCTTATAACTCCCATCTTACTGAACACAAAAGAACTCACCCAGAGGTGGACCCCTTTTCATGTTGTTCTGAATGCGGAAGACGGTTTCGCACATGGAGGATTTTAGTTATGCATCAGAGGGTTCATTTAAGCAAAAATGTTTACCCGTGTTCTAACTGTGGGCAGGGGTTTTTTAAGATGGCAAATCTTAAAAAACATGAAAGACTTCATAGAAGGTTGAAGTTATACTAATGGTCTCAATGTGGGATATGCATTGTGAATAAAAAAAAAAAAAGTCATTTTCAATATTTCTGTTAGCAAAAATATTTTCTGTTTTTACAGGTACGTTTTTCATGATGTGCCAGTATGCAGTGCATATTAGTACATTATCCTAATAACTTGTCTTAACCACCTCCCGTCCGGCCGTTGTGTATATAAACGGCTGGACGGGAGCAGTACAGGGGCGGGTGGCCGTTTATAAACGGCCTCCCCGCCCCCTGCTTGTGCACGCTCCCTGGGAGCGCGCAGTACCGCGAGGCGGTGCCCGCTGTGTCCTCCGTACACAGTGGAACACCGATCGTCGTACGGGACCTCTCTGCGAGGTCCCGATCATGTGATCACTGATTGGCCAATCACTGATCACATGCAGAGTAGTAAGCAAGATGTCACTTCTGACATCATTGCTTACTACGTGTGAAATCTGTGAATGATCACAGAGGTCACATGGTACAGGGCTATTCACAACAGCCTTGTACCATGTGACAAGCTGTGACCAATCACAGCTCACACAGTAGTTCTCAATGGCTGCAAGAATGCAGCCAGAGAGAAGGAGAAATTATTGCTTTCACAGCCTTTGAGTGTAAAAGCAATCAATGTTAAAAAAAAAAAAAAAAAAAAAAAAAAAATCATCACCCCCAAGTAGTACAGTGTCACCATGGTGAACATTTATAGCCCCGATCTGTGCCACTGCGATGTGACTCCTGTGTAGGAGTGACATTTATTTATTATTTTATTTCAGGTACTTATATAGCGCCATCAACTTACGCAGCACTTTACATATATATTGTACATTCAATTCAGTCAAGTTAGTCCCTAACCCTCAAGGGGCGTACAATCTAATGTCCCTAACTTACATTCATACATACACATACTAGGGCCAATTTAGACAGGAGCCAATTTAATATGTTTCATTTATTCATTTATTTTTGCTATATTTAATTGTAAATACACACACACATATATATTATTAATATTACAGGTACTTCTGTAGTGCTGCCAATTTACGCTTTACATATATATTGTACATTCACATCAGTCCCTAACCCTCAAGGAGTGTACAATCTACGGTCCATAACTTACATTCATACATACTAGGAACGATTTAGACAGGAGCCAATTAACCTTCTGGCATGTCTTTGGCATGTGGGAGGAAACCGGAGTACCCGGAGGAAACCCACGCAGGCACAGGGAGAACATGCAAACTCCAGGCAGGTGGTGCTGTGGCTGGGGTTTGAACTAACGACCCTAGTACTGCCAGGTGGAAGTGATAACGATTTCGCCACTGTGCTGCCCATCATCGTGGCCCGGCCATTCAAGCAGCCAAAGGTACGGAACGCAGAAAGAACACCTGGTGAAGATGGACCCGCTGGTTCATTTACAGCACATCACTGGAGGGCTCTGTTTGACAGGTAAGTCTTTCCTAATGTGCTAATATGCGGTGCAAACTAGTACACTATGGCATAATCCAATGTGAGGAACCATAAACCAGGCGGAGACAGAAAGTGCAGTTAAAATTACACCTTTAATGAAATAAATATAACATGGATCAGAAATGTAGTCCAAACAGAAGCCAGGGTTTGAATGCCAGAGCAGGTTATTAGACGAGCCAGGGTCAGGAAACCAGGAGTCAGTGTAGTGAAAGCTAAAAATCAGGAACAGGAATCAGAAGAGAAGCCAGCCAGATCGAGTTGTACACAGGAACACAGGCAGGAACACACTGGAGATCATAGACCACACAAGAGCAAGGAGGAAATGAGCTAAGCTGCTGAAATAGCAAAAAGGGCTGGCAGTGGGCTGGACTAATGAGGCAGGTAATGGTGTCCAGGTGAGTGGCTGGTAATTAACCGACAGCTGAGCAGCTTCAGAGCACTGAAAGAAAAGATCTGCTCGTTAAGTAGCAGGAGCCCAGCCCTGACACCCACCTGGAGGCCCTTAAAAAGAAGAAACGAAAGCAGTCTTTACTACCAGGTTAGCACTTCTGCCTGGCAGCACTAGGGTCATCGGTTCGAATCCTAACCATGACACTACCTGCATGGCGTTTGCATGTTCTCCTTGTGCCTGCATGGGTTTTCTCTCAGTACTCTGGTTTCCTCCCACACTCCAAAGACATGCTGGTAGGTTAATTGGCTCCTGTCTAAATTGGTTCTAATATGTGTATGTACGACTGTGAAGTAGGAACCTTAGATTGTACGCCCCTTGAGGGTTAGGAACTGATGTGAATGTAAAATATATATGTAAAGTGCTGCGTAAATTGACAGTGCTATACAAGTACCTGAAATAAATAAAATTAATATTGGAGTTTAAATAATTTAATTTTTCTTAATTGTACATCACAGGACTGTCACGCTTACCCCTAACGCAGGTGGTCAGGCACTATAGCTGGCTTCTGTGTTCTTCACCTCTAGCAAAACCCTTTCCCATAAGGCAAGCAGGCCTACCTGTACCCATTTGCTCCCAGGACTTACACGCAATGCTATAGTTCCTGGCCACCACACCGGGGCAGGTGCGAACTGAGCACAGCAAACTGGTGCAGTGTCTCGAAAATGTATTCATACTCCTTGAAATGTTCCCCATGTTGTAATATTACAACCAAAAACGTAAATGTATTTTATTGGGATTTGATGTGACCAACACAAAGTGGCACATAATTGTGAAATGGAAGGAAAATGAGAAATGGTTTTCAAAATTTTTGCCATTTGTATTTAGCCCCCCGGAGTCAATACTTTGTAGGACCACCTTTTGGCTGCAATTCCAGCTCCAAGTCTTTTTGGGGATGTCTCTTTGTACATCTAGTGAGGGACATTTCTGCCCATTCTTCTTTGCAAAATCACTCAAGCTCTGTCAGATTGGGTGGAGAGCGTCTGTGAGCAGCAATTTTCAGGTCTGGCCACAGATTCTCCATTGGATTTGAGTTTGGACTGTAACTGGGCCATTCTAACACATGAAGATGCTTTGATCTGAACCATTCCATTTTCGCTCTGGCTGGATGTTTCGGGTCGTTGTCCTGCTGGAAGGGGAACCTCCGCCCCAGTCTCAAGTCTTTTGCAGACTCTAACAGGTTTTCTTCTAAGATTGCCCTGTATTTGGCTCCATCCATCTTCCCATCAACTCTGACCAGCTTCTCTGTCCCTGCTGAAGAAAAGCATCACCACAATATGATGCTGCCACCACCATGTTTCACGGTGGGGATGGTGTGTTCAGGGTGATGTGCAGTGTTAGTTTTCTGACATATATAGCGTTTTGCTTTTAGGCCAAAAAGTTCCATTTTGGTCTCATCTGACCAGAGCCCCTTCTTCCACATGTTTGCTGTGTCCCCCACATGGCTTCTCACAAACTGCAAACAGGACTTCTTATGGCTTTCTTCTTGCCACTCTTCCATAAAGGCCAGATTTGTGGAGTGCACGACTAATAGCTGTCCTGTGGACAGATTCTCCCACCTGAGCTGTGGATCTCTGCAGCTCCTCCAGAGTTCCCATGGGCCTCTTGGCTGCTTCTCTGATGAATGCTCTCCTTGACCGGCCTGTCAGTTTAGGTGGACGGCCATGTCTTGGTAGGTTTGCAGTTGTGCCATACTCTTTCCATTTTCAGATGATGGATTGAACAGTGCTCCGTGAGATGTTCAAAGCTTGGGATTTTTTTTTATAACCTAACCCTGCTTTAAACTTCTCCACAACTTTATCCCTGACCTGTATGGTGTGTTCCTTGGCCTTCATGATGCTGTTTGTTCACTAATGTTCTCTAACAAACCTCTGAGGGCTTCACAGAACAGCTGTATTTATACTGAGATTACATTACACACAGGTGGACTCTATTTACTAATCAGGTGATTTCGGAAGGCAATTGGTTCCAATAGATTTTAGATAGGGGTATCAGAGTAAAGGGGGCTTTATACAAATGCCGCCACACTTTTCAGATATTTATTTGTAAAAAAAGTTTGAAAACCATTTATCGTTTTCCTTTCACATCACAATTATGTGCCACTTTGTGTTGGTCTATCAAATAAAATCCCAAATAAAATGCATTTACATTTTTTGTTGCAGCATGACGAAATGTAGAAAATTTCAAGGGGTAAGAATACTTTTTGAAGGCACTGTACTTGAGGTTGGCCGACTTGCAGAGTGGTTCAATGACAGTCTAGGTACAAGGCAGGCAAGGTTCAGGGTCAATCTGTAATCAAAATACAGGCAGAGTTCTGAACATTTTTGATACATGATCCGAGGTTGTCAAGAAGGGAATAGAAACTAGCAGACAGGGCAGACAAACAGGGAGCTTGGAGCCCGTGTTAAGCACAATATCAAAAGCATGAGACTGCAGTGGCTTGGCTGGCTTAAATGAGGTTTGGTCTCTACTAGGAGACTGGCCACATCAATCACCTTGCAGGTAGACAGACAGGCAGGGAGAATGTATCACAGCCAAAACCATGATGGTGGAATGAGTCCAGCGGCTGTGATGGAGCAAGAGCGCTACACGCTCCTGACAAGGACACAGAGGAATAACTTCAGGTGAATGGACACTGGTCAAAAAAAGGCAGAATTCCCTGTCCAGACATAACCCCTCCAAGCTCAGCTAAGCCTCAGTTTTTTCTAGTGTCTAAAGGGGACGGATGCTTGCTTATGTCTTTCTGTAGATCTCTTTTTACTGGGGCAGAAGTGGGTTCCATCTAGGTCAGTCACTACAGCCAGCAGGTGAAAAGTATGGGCAGCCTTTAATGACACTGGAGCCTGTGAGCACAGTTTGGCACTGGACCCCCTGGACAGCAACCTCTGCTGTAGAGCATACTCAGTGGTCTCACTTGCAGGGTGCTCTATAGGTCCAAGGCAGTGATCTTCCTGGAGGGGAGTTGAGTCCATGAAGGTTGTGCTAGGTGCATTTACAGTGATGGGTGATGTCTTGGCCTAAGATGACCCTACAATGTGCTGTGTGAAGGGGGGTGTGTCTCTTCCCTCCAATCAGCTCTCAGGGCTCTCCTCACT